CTGCCAGAGCTGCTCTCTGCAGAAACTCACATTATATAATTATTAATAATTTTCTCTCTTTTTCCACACAGATATTGGCATGCCATGTATACTACTCTGCACCTTGCATTTTTTGCTTAACTTTATTTATTTATTTATTATTTAATTCTATTTTATTGAGACAGTCTTACTCTGTTACCCTATTTTATTGAGACAGTCTTACTCTGGCTATAGCCTAGCTCACAGCAACCTCAAACTCCTGGGTTCAAGCTATCTTCTAGCCTCAGTCTCTTGAGTAGCTGGGACTATAGGCACCTGCCACAATGCTCAGCTAATTTTCCTATTTTTAGTAGAGATGGGGTCTTGGCCTTGCTTAGGCTGGTCTTGAACTCCTGAGCTCAAGCCTCACAGAGTTCTGAAATTACAGGTATGAGGCACCTTGCATGGCTTTTTTGTTAGAGAGATAAAGTCTCACTTTGTCACCCAGACTGGAGTGCAGTCCTGTGATCATAGCTCATTACAACCTTGAGCGCTTTGGCTTCAGGGGTCCTCCTGCCTCAGCCTCTCAAGTAGCTAGGACTACAGGAGCACAACACCACATCTAGCTAATTTTTAAAAAGTACTTATGTGCAGCTTCTCACCTATACTCAGTAGTTAGGGCGCTGGCCACATACACCAGGGCTGGAGGATTCGAACCCGGCCTGGGCCTGCTAAACAACAATGACAACTACAACAAAAAATTAGCAGGGCATTGTGGTGGGCACCTGTAGTCCCAGCTATTTGGGACAGCTGAGGCAAGGGAATTGCTTAAGCCAAGAGTTTGAGGTTGCAGTGAGCTGTGACGCCATGGCACTCTACCAAGGACGATATAGTGAAACTCTCGTCTCAAAAAAAAAAAGTACTTATGTGGAGATAGAGTCTACTATGCTGTCCAGGCTGGTCTTCAACTCCTGGCTTCAAAGAGTTCTCCACCTGAGCTTCCCAAAGTGTAGGATTACAGGCAAGAGCCACTGCACCCAGCTTAGATTTTTAGATTTAGCAATAAATATATCCTGAATATCATTCTATGTCTTCGCAAAGAGAATTCTCATTCTTTTTTTATGCCTTCATATTTTTCTATTATGATGTATCGTGTCTTTCCCAGTCTGTGCTCTCCTGATGGACAGTCACTTGAGACTGTTTCTATTATTACCTCCCTTTTACAGAGGCCTTGAGGCACCATGGGAGCTCTGTGCCCCTGGTCTGGTCACCCCACTTGACTCTCCTCCTCATCCTACCTTGATTAGTTTCCAGACCTATTTCTCTCCCATTCCTGTGCTATTAGTAGTTATTTTATTATCTTTTTGTTCATTTATATAAACAATATTTACAAGCCCCAGACATGAGCCAGGCCCTGGGGTAGGCCAGAGCATATGGAGGGACGTGATGGAGAAGTCCTCTGCTGTCACGGATTAAGTCATTTGTGTGTTTTTGTAAGACACCCAAACCTTCCATGGAGTGATGTGGAGAATTAATAAAAAGGCTGATGCCTGTCTTTACCAATGAATAAAACACATGTGCCAGTAAATCACTGTTGCAGTCCTGTGAGCTGAATACTGAAACAGAAGCCTGGGAACCCAACACCCTAAACACTCCCCTGCAGGCTGGCCCCCCTCCAGTTCCCCAGCAAAGAAGCCCCCCAGCATTGGTTCCTCTCACTCCTGCCGCCACCCAGACCACCCCGCCCATTCTACCCTCTGAAGTCCTCTGGACTCTGCCCAACCCTGCTCTCCCTGGCTACCAGCCTTGCTCTGGCCTCCTCTTGCCAGGGCCACACAATAACCTTCTCCCTGATCTTGCTTCCACCTTAGCTCCTTTCCACCCACTGATGTGTCCATGTGTCATCTCCCAGTCCTAACCTTCTAAAGTTTCCCTTCGCTGTGCTAAGGCTAATGTTGTGGTGGGGGCAGAGCCAATGTTTAGGATTGAGGGATCTGTTGCAGTTCGGCCAGGGCTGGGTTTGAACCCACCACCCTTGGTATATGGGGCCAGCGCCCTATTCACTGAGCCACAGGCGCCACCCAGGATGGAGGGATCTGGAGCCTGAGTCCTGGCTCTGCCACTTACTGGTTATGTGACCTTGAATGACCTACTTAACCTCTCTGCCTAGGATGAGGCAAACTGAGGCAATGAGGTAAATGGGAATGATAAAAATGATAGTGAGGTAAATGACATCAGATAATAGCTCATACCTTATATAGCTGTTCTAAGGATAAAAGTTAATGCGTGTGAAGCACTTAAACAGTACTTAACATACAATAAGTGCTCAATAAATGTTAGATGCTAATATTATAATAATAAGGCCCTCTGATTTGGACTCTGCTTAGGATTCCAACTTCATAGCTTACCAGTTCTCATCTCCCATGTAAATCAGCTGAAATTCTTTTGATTACCTAAAACCACAAACTCATTTTCTCTCCCCTTCAATACACACCCCTTCCCCCAAAAAAACTGTGCTGAAGCTGGGCCCAAGGCCAAGTTTTTCTTTCTTTCTTTCTTTTTCTTTTTTTGAGACAAAATCTTAAAGGTAGAGTGCCACAGCGTCATAGCTCACAGCAACCTCGAACTCCTGTGGTTCCTTTTGCCACAAAACCAGGCTAATTTTTCTATTTTTAGTAGAGAAGGGGTCTCACTCTTGCTCAGGCTGGTCACGAACTCCTGAGTTCAAGCAATCCACCTGCCTTGGCCTTCCAGAGTGCTTAGGATTATAGGCATGAGCCACCATGCCTTGACCATTTGTCCTTTTTTTAGAGACAGAGTGTTACTCTGTCACCCAAGGTGGAGGCCAGTAGCATGATCAAAGCTCATTACATCCTGGAACTTCTGGCTCAAGGGATCTTCCTGCCTCAGCCTCCAGAGCAGCTGGGATTATAGGCAGGTGCACCACACCAGGCTTGGATTTTATTCTTAGTTTGTTGAGGGTGTTTTTTTGTTGTTGTTGTTGTTGCTGCTTCTGTTATTCCCATTTATAATCTCTCTTTTTTTTTTTTTGAGGCAGAGTCTCACTATGTCACCCTCAGTGGAGTGCTGTAGCGTCACAGTCCACAGCAACCTCAAACTCTTGAGCTTAAATGATTCTCTTGTCTCAGCCTCCCAAGTAGCTGGGATTACAGGCACCCACCACAACACCTGGCTATATATATATATATATATATTTTTTTTTTTAGAAACAGAGTCTTACATTATTGCCCTCAGTAGAGTGCTATAGCATCACAGCTCACAGCAACCTCTGACTCCTGGACTTAGGCAATTCTCTTACCTCAGCCTCCCAAGTAGCTGGGACTACAGGCATCCACCACAACACCCAACTATTTTTTTTGTTGTTGTTGTTGCAGTTTGGCCGGGGCTGGGTTCGAACCTGCCACCCTTGGTATATGAGGCCGGTACCCTACCCACTGAGCCACAGGTACCACCCAACCCAGCTATTTTTTTGTTGCAGTTTGGCCACGGCCAGTTTTGAACCCCCCACCCTCAGTATATGGGGCCGGCGCCCTACCCACTGAACCACAGGAGCTGCCCTCACCTGGTGGTTGTCGTTGTTGTTTAGAAGGCCCAGGCCGGGTTTGAACCTGCCAACTTTGGTGTATGTGGCTGGCACCGTAACTACTGTGCTACAGGCGCCAAGCCTCATTTATTATCTCTTAAGGCAGCATTTAGTTTAGTTTTGACAGTTGTATAAATCCATGTTACTGCCATCTTAAAGAAAATCCAGAACATTTCCATCACACCAGAAAGCTCCCTAGAGCCCCCCTTTCTTGTGCTTGGGGAAGCATAAAGGGTTTTTGTTTGTTTCTTTCAGAGACAGAGTCTCACTTGTCCCCCTCAGTAGAGCGCCTTGGCGTCACAGCTCATAGCAACCCTTAACTCTTGGGCGCAAGCGATTCTCTTGCCTCAGCCTCCCTAGTAGCTGGGATTACAGGCAACCCCCCAACACCTGGCTAATTTTAGAGACAGGGTCTCGCTCTTACTCAGGTTGATTTCGAACTTCTGAGTTCAAGCAATCCACCTGCCTTGGGCCTCCCAGAGGGCTGGGATTACAGGCGTGAGCCACCTCGTCAGCCAGGAAGGGTTTTAAAGAGATTATATTTGTGTCTTTTTTTTTTTTCTTTTCTTTCTTTTCTTTTTCTTCCTTCCTTTTTTTTTTTTTACAGAGTCTCAAGCTGTCGCCCTGGGTACAGTGCTGTGGCGTCATAGTTCATAGTAACTTTCTACTCCGGTTCAAGCGATCCTCTTGCCTCAAAAAATTTTTTTTCAAGTTTTCTACTCGTAGTAGAGACCAGGGTCTCGCTTTTGCTCAGGCTGGTCTGGACCTCCTGAGGTCAAGCAATCCACCTGCCTCGGCCTCCCAGAAGGCTGGGATTACAGCCATGACCCACCGCGCCTGCCCTTGCGTTTTTTCCTTTTACTTAAAAGACGTATTTATAGGCTCGGCGCCTATAGCTCAACCGGCTAAGGCGCCAGCCACGTACACCTAAGGTGGCGGGTTCGAATCCCCAGCCCGGACCCGGCAAACAACAATGACGGCTGCAACCAAAAAATAGCCGGGCGTTGTGG